TTTTTTTTTTGACAAAGGGTAAAATTCAATACCAACGAGAACAAGTACAACAAACGCCCGAAAAACAAGTTAAGCTCAACAAACGGGGGCCTTAAACACACAGATGATGAAGCCCTAAGGCCAGCCTTGGAGCCCAACACATACAAACAAACAGCATAGAAAAAACCTAAAAAGCTGGGCTTCGTGAAGCTGCATTCGCTATCGCCAGAAAACCATACACCAATCCATCTCCCCCGCAAGCACATGGATCACGCCAACAAGAAACCTAAAATTTGTAAAGAAAGAGGCCGCATAATCCTCTAAGGACCGTCGCCACATGATCAAGGAAGCATGCAGGAAGAAAGAACTCAGAGTAGCATCGTCGACAACGGTGAATACCGAAAAGGACCAACAAAGGCCAACAAAGGTGGTGGTGCGAACGCCTGAACCAAAACTTCACTCTCTTCGATCAATCCGCGACAGAACGCGATAAATAAAAGTTCAATTATGAAAGAAACTTGATACGTCTGGATGGCATTTCTCGTACCGAGTGAGACTAACATGAGCTCGGTTTGAAACTCAAAACAAAAGTTGAATGCTTTTGCAAGAATAGTCTAACCAGACATATCGTCAGACTATTAAGTTTCCTAAAAAGTATGTTATCAAGGTTCTTCTTCATATGAAAGCATTAAAACATGTCGTTTTTGCCCAAAAAGATGACATATCATGTATCAACGTTATCTCGACTTGATTCAGATATAAAATTAAACTCAATTTTGTGTAACTAGCTCCGCAAAGAGGTTACCATGTACACTCCCTTAGTAAATAAAAACAGAAGAAAATTGTAGAATCATTTATAGAATACTAATAACAATTCCGTTATAAAACCGACCCACAAACCACAACTTTTGCATTGCTTACAAAATTCATTGGGCCTCCAGTAGGATTTTTGGGGTCAATCGAGCATCCGCCACTGTGAATACCTCTGACACTAAAATTGTCTCTGTAAATGAACGTCGAAACCTGATGTTATACTGGATGTTGATAATGGCTGACACGAAACAAACCGTTAATGAATTAGGTCATTATCGGGTTACAGTTAAAAACTTGTTAAGATAACATATTTGACACAGGACAACATGATCCATTAAGATAACGGATATGACACGAAAAACAACATGAACACGATAAACAAAATCTATTTGTCAAGTCTACGAACCAAACATATATAGTAGAGTTTTCCGATAAGATAGCAATTAACGCATTAATTAGGGCAACTCATGATAGATTGTTAGTTGGCTATTTTCAAGCCTATGCGTTCAACATGCATGCATCATTGTGATTTTGAAAGGTTTGTTGTGTAACTAGTATTAGAAAGTTGAGCAGACAACTCTGATTTTGTTTGACCTCTTCTTTGCTGCAGATAGTGTGTATGGACTATGGAGAGAGTTGAATAATCCAGTCTTCGAGATTTCTTTTATTTCCCTCGGATGTGCGAATGCTTTTCAAATTTTTTATGCTTCCAGAACATGCAACTAGATTGATGCGAGAAACTGATTTGATCATTTTCAACAGAAAAAACAGGCTGTTAGCAAGGTGTCTTGGACCCGAAATTATGATTACGAAGCATAAGAAGAAGATTATTCACTAAATATAAAATAGACAATTCTACTGTGTTTCGATGTATTAAATAAATCAATGCGTGTTATAAAATCCCATATAAAAAGCGATAAAATCATAAGAAATTTTTTTAAAAGGAAGCACATGCAATGGTATATTCATGAAAAATCATTCGAAGGGTTACATGTGAAAGTTCACAAACATTTATTAGATATATAATAATCTTAAAAATTAAACCATAGTTCCATCATTCACAATTTATAAAACAAATAACAATATAATTGTCCATGACACGTTTTTATACTTTGAAAATGATGCATTATAGCTTTCATTATTAATGGGAAAAACATTGCTCTCAATAAGGCCAACTTCTCTTTGAGACATCTTATCAAGCAGTTGGTATGAAGGACAACTTTAACTTTCAAAAGGGCAGCACCAAGTCATCTTGGAGATTTACCAGATTTCAAGGGGTCGGTGACCTCCTTGCCTCTTAATGGATCCACCCCTGAGCACAAGCTGTAAATAACACCACCATATAAATTAAAAGATAATTTATACCTTTCACATGTCTTTGTTAATTTTTTTTCATTGATCTTCTTCAATTTATTCGATCCGATAGCTGAAACTTATGAGGAAGTGTGAGAAGTAAAAATAGATATGTAGATAACGTTTAAATTGAACAATGTAGAATCAAAAGTGGGCTGGGTTAAACTAAAGGGGGACACTTGTCAGGCCCAATTGGATCCCAATATTGATATATGATATGATCTTAGTGAGTGAATCTTATTGAGTTGGAAACTTGGAAGAGAGAAGAAAAAAATGCCACCATTGGAATCAAATTCTGTGAGGGAACTCCTTGATTTTGATTGACAAACAAATGATGCATTTCTTATTGATTAGAAGAGAGGAATCAAGTTACTAATAGCTAGCTAGAAGCATCAATGACGATCAATGTCATTGCTTACGAAAAAGTTTCTCTTTTTTTTTTTTTTTTTTTTTTTTTTTTTTGTTGGCATACATGGGAATATGCTTAGGAAGCAAATACCAAATTGATATGAGCCATTGAAAAAATGGGTGCTATTACGACTCTTACGTCTAATCTAACAGATACTCTAAATTGAATAATAGAGTTTTGAATGAGCCTGCTATATACGACAATTCACTCACATTAGGTAAGATTAGGTGATCCGTGAAATATCTTATGAACCATTTTACTCGAGACTTTTCCAAATCAAAGGCATTGCTCAGTCCCTTTGACGTTGTAAAATTCGTAGATGGCTACTCACCGTTACCTAGTGTCCAAAGGAGAAGTCTTTGGTTGTCCGCTAGGGTGTTTGTTGAACATGATTGCGTGCTACGACAACGTTTCAATCCCGTGTATAGTGCTCTTCAACAAATTTGACATATACGGAATCTTTTGGGTTCTGACCGTAGAAAAAGAAGGCTCGACGTCATAGGACTTGTTGGGCCTATTTCTTACGTCTAATCTAACAGATACTCTAAATTGAATAATAGAGTTTTGAATGAGACTGCTATATACGACAATTCACTCACATTAGGTAAGATTAGGTGATCCGTGAAATATCTCGTGAACCATTTTACTCGAGACTTTTCTAAATCAAAGACATTGCTCAGTCCCTTTGACGTTGTAAAATTCGTAGATGGCTACTCACCGTTACCTAGTGTCCAAAGGAGAAGTCTTTGGTTGTCCGCTAGGTTGTTTGTTGAACATGATTGCGTGCTACGACAACGTTTCAATCCCATGTATAGTGCTCTTCAACAAATTTGACATATACGGAATCTTTTGGGTTCTGACCGTAGAAAAAGAAGGCTCGACGTCATAGGCCTTGTTGGGCCTATTTCTTACGTACAAAAAAAAAAAAAAAAGTAAAGAAACTTAATGAAAATATATTGAAAATTTTGAGTTTTAACGATAAAGATAAAATAAAAAGTAAAATAAATAGTACGAGGATTGGCTTTTTAGTGTAAAAATATAGCTTTTCGTTAAAATGAACAGTACTAGAAGCTTTTTGTTAAAGCTCCCAAATAAGTATGGTGCCTTGTTCAACCAAGATGCGGGTCATGGTTGCATTCTCAATTTTTTTTTTTTTTTGGACAAAGGGTAAAATTCAATACCAACGAGAACAAGTACAACAAACGTCTGAAAAACAAGTTAAGCTCAACAAACGGGGGCCTTAAACACACAGATGATGAAGCCCTAAGGCCAGCCTTGGAGCCCAACACATACAAACAAACACCATAGAAAAAACCTAAAAAGCTGGGCTTCGTGAAGCTGCATTCGCTATCGCCAGAAAACCACACAACAATCCATCTCCCCCGCAAGCACATGGATCACGCCAACAAGAAACCTAAAATTTGTAAAGAAAGAGGCCGCATAATCCTCTAAGGACCGTCGCCACATGATCAAGGAAGCATGCAGGAAGAAAGAACTCAGAGTAGCATCGTCGACAACGGTGAATACCGAAAAGGACCAACAAAGGCCAACAAAGGTGGTGGTGCGAACGCCTAAACCAAAACTTCACTCTCTTCCATCAATCCGTGACAGAACGCGATAAATAAAAGTTTAATTATGAAAGAAACTTGATACGTCTGGATGGCATTTCTCGTACCGAGTGAGACTAACATGAGCTCGGTTGAAACTCAAAACAAAAGTTGAATGCCTTTGCAAGAATAGTCTAACCAGACATATCGTCAGACTATTAAGTTTCCTAAAAAGTATGTTATCAAGGTTCTTCTTCATATGAAAGCATTAAAACATGTCGTTTTTGCCCAAAAAGATGACATATCATGTATCAACGTTATCTCGACTCGATTCAGATATAAAATTAAACTCAATTTTGTGTAACTAGCTCCGCAAAGAGGTTACCATGTACACTCCCTTAGTAAATAAAAACAGAAGAAAATTGTAGAATCATTTATAGAATACTAATAACAATTCCGTTATAAAACCGACCCACAAACCACAACTTTTGCATTGCTTACAAAATTCATTGGGCCTCCAGTAGGATTTTTGGGTCAAGAGTTGGACATACAAAATTTGGGCCTCGGGAAATAATCAAAGCCCTATACCACCAAAATAAAAAACCTAAAAAAACAAAAAAAACAAATGGAAAGAGTTTAAAATTTTGAGTTTTAACGATAAATGTAAACTAAATGGTAAAATGAATAGTATTAGGATTGATTTTTTAGTGTAAAAATATGATTTTTCTAAGGTGAACAGTACCAGAACTTTTCATTAAAGTTTTTTTTTTTTTTTTTTTTTAACTATTCACTTTACTTTTTAATTTACCCTTATTATTAAAACTCAAAATTCCTAAATTATTTTTATTAATTTTCATTAAAAAAAAAAAAAAAAAAAAGAAAGGTGTGGTTTTTGGTTGTTGACGTGAAATGCGATGAAGGACGGCAGATTTGGTGGGAAAATGTTGAACCGCGATTCAGCACTAATCGGGCTGATCAGTTGCTTTTGCTTTCACTCCGCGTTTCTTACTAATTTCGTCGCCGCTTCTTCTCCGGACCCGCTGCTCGGATCCGCCCGCGTCGTTTTTCAGGTGAAAAAATGATTTGAAAACGAAGTAGAAATTAATGTGAATTTCTGGGGAAGAATTTGGATTTTGATTTGCGTGATCTTGCAGACCAACTATGGCGACATTGAATTTGGGTTCTACCCGACCATCGCGCCGAAGACTGTGGAGCACATTTTCAAGCTCGTCCGCCTCGGCGGCTACAACACCAACCACATCTTTAGGGTTGAGAAAGGGTTCGTCGCTCAAGTGGCCGACGTGGCCAGCGGAAGGTCGGCTCCGATGAACGAGGAGCAGCGGAGGGAGGCGGTGAAGACGGTGGTCGGCGAGTTCAGTGACGTCAAGCATGTCAGGGGCATCCTCTCTATGGGAAGGTACTGTAAAGTCTGAGTCTTTCTGATTTACTTGATTAGAAATTTGAAGTTTTCGCCCTTTCGGGTCTTTAATTATGAATTATTATCTGGGTAATTGTTGTTTTTTATTAATATTTTGTGTAGGCACGAAGATCCGAACAGCGCCGGATCGTCCTTCTCAATGCTGCTTGGAGATTCCCCTCATCTTGATGGGAAGGTAAGCTGACTATACTTTGATGACTTCTTTGAATCGGGCATGACACCGGTAATGTGTTGAAGTAAGAAATCCTTTTTCAGTATGCAATATTTGGGAAAGTTACTAAAGGTGATGAGACCTTGAAAGCACTTGAGGAACTCCCTACTCGTCGCGAAGGGATTTTCGTGATGGTATGCTTATTCCTATGCTTTTGCTTGTTTCTATGTTTCGGTAAGAATCGATTGGTCAATGTCTGTGAACTTAGAATTATAGTTTTTATGTGTTATGTTGGGTACAATAGTATAGCTTCTTTTCACCCTTCTAAAATATCTGTAGATATTGCCATTATATCTGATGTGTAAATGCATTAGAGATGGGAGTCGAAACTAAAAGTCTTGACTTGACGTATATTTGGTTGAGTTGGTGTATAATAATTAAACTAAAAGTCTTGCTATGTGTGGATTCATTTGATTCTCACTCTCTACTGTATAAATGTTTTATCTCCATGCTTGAACTGTTTGCATTAATCGTATGTGGTAAAGCAGCAATGCTTCTTACTACAGTTTAGTAGTATTTTTATGCTTCAGTTACGCCTTTGTCATATAAAGCAGCCATTATTGTCTCTTTAATTTATTTTCCCTTTTGTTCCTCCAGCCCACCGAGCGCATTACAATTCTGTCAACATACTACTACGGTGAGCATTAAGCACCCTTGATTTGTTCGTTACTTGTACTAGTTTCATATGACTTGAATTTTTAATGGAATCTGGTGCTTCATTAAATGATATATCTGTAGGTAAGTTTAAGCCACATAATCATGCAGTGCAAGGTAACTATTTTGTAAATTGCTTTCACTAGTACCGTGCTTGAGAAAATTAATGATGATTTTAGAAGAGAGAAAAATGAAGGGGTGGGAGCTGTACGGTTACACAATTGTTTATTTTCAGATATAGTGTAACTTGGCTATACGTATTGACACTAGCTTCAGTGACTGGATTAAGGAGCAGCGGTAGGTTTTTTGAGAAGTTTAAGACCAAATGCTGAACCATGCACATTGCTGAAGTTCTCTTTTTCATTACTTTTTTTCCTTGTTGATACGTGTCTGCCAAATGAAGACGGGTCCAGTGTTTGTTGCATTGGAGATTTTAATCGTCACATTTAAATTGGATGAATTGACATTGTGTTTATGGCTTGATTGTGTTACTTTTAGACACCGAGATGGAGAATTGCGTAGACATGAGGTCCATTATGAAGCGGAGGCTTGCTGCAGCTGCCTTTGAAACTGAAAGACAGGTAACTAAAAGTTACAACGAACATGATGTTTTTTAACATTACAATGTAAACATGGACTTATCCTGTGTCATTTTTGTAGAGAATGAAATGTTTCCCATGACATAGCAAGCAAACAGTTTACAAAGGGTGAGAAAAGTTCAAAAATCCATTCAAGCGGATGGGAGACAATACGTATGGGGTCAATCGAGCATCCGCCACTGTGAATACCTCTGACACTAAAATTGTCTCTGTAAATGAACGTCGAAACCTGATGTTATACTGGATGTTGATAATGGCTGACATGCATGTTGAGGCCACACATTTGATTCCTGATGTTTGCTGTGAAACTGCTGAAACCGTTGCTTATGCAAGGGGAAGCAAATAATGGATTTATAGTGGCTTAGTTATAAACCAAATCCAAAGTCTGAAATTCGGAGTTTGATTTACTGTCGGTAATATTATTCTTCATTGTTGCTTGTATGGATAACACTTCCATTCAACGAGAATGTAACTGTGAGTCTGTGACGGTATTCCAAGTTAATCATGCTATACATCTTTTGTATCCCTATATTCGGTTTTATGGTTAGGCTTTCTTACGTGGAGGAGGAGAATTGAACTCTTGTTAATTGTTACTTTGGTTTTTACCACCGAACTAACAAGAATATACGCTTGTACGCAGCTTCGCTTAACAATGGGAAACATGTCAAATTCCTAACCGACCGGAAGTACCCTATCGCTTTTAGGCCGTAAAATGTATGGTGGTAGATTCAGTGAATCTCCCCACAACTTTCACCGTAAAGACGAAAGCGACACAGTTACATTCAGTTGACGGTCGATTTGGTTCAATCCAAAACATGTTACTGGCCTTACAGACAAGGAGTCATGTGTTGCATGGGGAAATTTATCGAGCAACCTAATGGACCAGGAAGGTTGGGGATGAGATGGCCTACACCAACATGGGAATCACAGTGAGTGAGAGTCACATGTCTGAATCTGGTAAGAGTAAGCAAACTGTGCAGTGAGGAGGAAGATGGTAACCCTCTCAGCCTCCCCCATGTGTTCCAAACTTTCGGACTCATGGAAACATAACATGTGCTGCCTGCTACTGATGAAGCCCGAATCGGACTTAATCCATTTACCATGTAATTAATATAGGATTAAGAGCGTGTTTACTTACCAGCAATAGGAATTGGAATCATTTTGACTCTTGAGTTTCATGTGTTTATGAGAATGTTAGTACGAGAATCGTTTCAATTCTCAAGTTCTCCGAATTCCTTCTTTCTCTCAACGGATTTTCACTAGATCGGAGCTTTTAGGAAATCCTCCTCTTTTGGCTTCACTTGAGCGGTTGACGCAATCCAAGACAAAGAGGAAGCTAAACCCGTGGTGACGAATAACCCCCTCAACCTCTTTGAGGAAAGGACCATTACATCTAAGTCCGAACCGTTATCATTAATTAGACTAATTTAGAATGTCCTCCAACATAAGAAAAAGAAAGGAGCACATGGCCAATTAGGTAGGAGAGCTGCATTCCGTCCATATCCAGGAGTTGTGTCCCAATGAATGGACTCAAGTAGGCTTGACTTTTGGGGAGATGGAAAGTCTTATGATGTTCCAGATCGCTTGATGTCTTCAAGTGATGGAAGACAAAGCATGCCCACATGGCTTTAAAACGACAACACACACCAAAGTCGTCTATGTGAATCAGACGGCCTCAATCTTCTTCAACCCCATATGTAATAAATTTTGTGTTTCTTGCCCCGCTTTGCTTCTTTTGGTTGCTAATTCCCTCGACCTATCACGTGGGAGAAGAAACCTTTTTTTTTCGAATTTTGTTTGGTCCCAAGCTCCTCTCACAATTCCATCTACAGTTGATTGGAGACACAACAGTAAAACGGCTAAAGTCACAAACAGTTAGGACCCAAAATCCCACGTCGGAACAACAGCCTATGTCGGTGTAGGTTCTTTGCAAGCCGATTTTGTATGATCGGGTTGTACCTGTGAGCTTGTATCGATTGGTATCAGACTAGTGCTGGCTCAACGAGAGAAAAGGGTTACCATCAATGTCGATAAAATGGGCCGATGAGATTCAAAGATATGAAACAGGTATAACGAAGTTTTTTTGGTTATCGATCACAACAAAATTGTCCTAATATTTTAAAAAACAATAGGATGCCATTCACAACCTTTAGAATTTTTCATGAGCCACAAATATTACGGTGACAGAACGCAATTATACTTACATATACTAATGCGGGTTCGATCGCAACTCGAAGGATGTGGACACATAAATTAGTCAGCTGTTATGTTAGCAATGACACAGTCGTATTTGGGTATCATGTGGATAATGCGTTATCACAAGCCCGTTCAGATTGGATAATGCGTTCTCACGTTTCTAGGACCGTTTTGAACCTAAGTTTGGTATGGGTTTGCCAACTGCAGAAATCACGAGTGCAAATGTCGGCCTTTCGCAGTTTTTTGTATTTATTTATTTTTGAATAAAACGTTTAAATCAACAGCAAGCCTTCAATAGAAGCGTCACGTGAGTTTTGTAGGGCCACCAAAAAAGAAGTTGCTACGTTGTCACAAATATGATCAAATTAACCAAAAAAAAGAGGAGAACTCCAGTGTTTCTGAAGTTTTTCCCTAATAAGACCGGTCTGCATGTGCATACCACGTGTTTTCTCTCGTAATTTTTCATGTTTTCGAGCAATTTTTATTTTCTCTTTGAATATTTAATCCATGTATAATAATAAAAGAAAATTAATAAAAATAATTTTAAAATTTTGAATTTTAACAAAAAATCATTTAATAATTTTATAACGATAAGGACAAGAGAAAGAAAGCAAAAAAAAAAAAAAAATTTATCACACACGCACCAGGTGCGCCTCCTTTGCTGCTGCTTTGTTCATCTTATCAAATGTAGGCTGCTTCTATATATTTATACTCTCTCTATACACACACATATATACATATATACCCTATTGTCTTATATATAATGGAATATGAAACACTAAAGGGTACCTTTGCAACTTTATTTATCAAGTCACTACCTTTATACCTACAATTTTGATTTGCATCATGGGCGCGCGTACACCCACCCCCATTTCACAATCCTGTTTTTTCTCCCGTTGTTAGCTATCATTAAGAGATTTTTTATTTTTTATTTTACTTCAAATTGAAATACATTACCCAGTTTTATTTTCGTAGTGTTGTTTCCCAATTGTAGTCATGTGTTTGGGACAAGGGGTGGTACACCATGTGTCTTTATACAAGTTGTGAGATTTCTGTGTTAAAAAATTAATAACATAAAAATAAAATTTCCCACCACTTACATAATAACACGTGGTGTATTGCTTGCGTTATAGGCATAAGGAAAAATTTCCCACCACTTATATAATATCCAGTATTTTAATTCGGTAATTGAAAACAGCTTTTTAGATATAATTATAGAGAACATAATTTTCTCAAGGTTTTGATTTGAAGGATCACTTATGGGTTTATCGTTTTTGGCGCAATGAATGCTTTTACAGGACCAAACAAGGTCTAAGTTTCAAACCTTATGAAACTGGACCAAAAAGTAAACAATATTTATGAAACAAAACCAATAAGTAGATACTATTTGTGAAATGAAACCAAGAATTAGGTTTTATTTCTAAAACTAAACAAATAGGATGAAACTATTTATGAAACTAGACTATACACTATTTATGAACTTTTACCATGAACTAGACATTATTTATGAAACAAGACTAAGAACTAGGCACTATTTATGAAAGTAGACCAATAACTGGGAACTATTTATGAAATTAGACCAAGAAAGAGACACTGTTTATGAAACCGTACCATTACTATATACTATTTATGAAACTGGATCCAATAACTAGGCACTATTTATAAAATATGACCAAGAACTATGCACTATTTATAAAAGTAGACCAATAACTAGGCACTATTTATAAAACTGGACTAATAAATAGTGTACTACCGTTTTCATAAATAGTGTTCAATTTCATAAGTGTTCAGTTTCATAAACAGTATCTATGATAGACGCGCAGGTCCTGCGCGTTATGTCTTTTTTAAAAAAAAAAATTTTTTGTCATTTTCATTAAAATTTAAATTCTTTTATCTTTTTTATTAAAATTTATAGATTTTTCATTAATATTTAAATTTTTTTCATTAAATAAAATTATAGCATAGTTTTTCTTTAACTAAACCCAAACTCTTTTAATAAAAGTTTCAAATAATAATACATAAGCAAAAAATAAAAATTGTTTAAAACTGGAAAGGGGTAGAAGCCACCGGGAGGCGTATGTGGTCAATTAAATTTGGCTGCTCCCAACTTGTCCACGTGCATGCGCATGCCTTGGTTTTCCCTGGATGTAATCCTTTGATTGATTATTACCTTCTGTTCTCGTGCAAGCTAAAGAATAAAAAATAATAACTACTGCAGACAGATGCAGTAAAAACCGCAATCGGGCTTTTACAGTGATGATCCCAAGCCCCAGAAAATGACTAACGTCGACAGACCAACTTAATTACGAGGAAGCACGCCATAGAAAAGGAAACCAAAACAGTAAATTCCCACATCGGGAGACGAGAGATCTTACATGTGTTTCTCATATTGTTAATTAGTTTGATGATAGAACTCTAATCATCTCCATGGTATCAAAGCAAGTTATGCCACGAATAAAGCCTGAATGTCACACATGCTTCACATCATTAGATTTGTATTGTTCACATTAGACTTGTTACACACATACGAGGATGTGTTTAGAGTAAATCCAAAATCGGAGGAAGGATGAACTTTGCATGTGTTTATAAAGAATTGGACTACTCTTAATATTATTAATTGATTTTATGGTAGAACCCATTGTAATTTTTTTGGTCTTGAAAAAGTAGAAAATTCCTGATTAAGTGCAGTTTGCGACCCCTAATGTATATTTTGATCATGTTTTGTTTAATTGTTGTTTGGCATATTTAGACATGAATATTTCTCTTATTATGAGCACTAAGCGCATATCTATAACCTAGTTGAATGTAATTTTTTTATTTATTTTAATAAGAATAAGGGCGGTGGTTTCCGAGCGTGTAGGACCATTCACCTTCGAATTTAAGAGAAGAAGTTTTGCATCCTACTTCATTATATTTTAAGGAGAGAGGAAAAACTAATTTAGTAGACCAGTTAGACCAACCAATTAATAAGAATGCTCTCGTGATGTGTGGATTTGGATTCTCGTCGGATCCTTTCTCTGGAGATTTTAGAGATCAACGAACACGAACCGTTGATAAAAAATATTGAGCCACAATTTTTTCTTTTTTTATATTTTTCACGTAAAACAATGATGCTTTATTTTTAAAAATATAAACATCATTTAATTGGGGACCGTACGATAAATTTTTTTATCAACGGTACGTGTCGTTAATTCTTATAATCTCTAGGAAGAGAGTCTGACGAGGATCCAAATCCGTGATGTGTAAGACTCGTCAACTAATTGTTGTACTATATCGGATCAGATAATATTCAAATATACAACATTACGATGATACTGCAAAATATTATAAAATTTTGATAGTAAAGTGGGAAGAATTAAAGGCAAGATGTCATATAAGAGAAAGTACAAGTTTCATTGGGAGACTCCCAAAAAGATATGCTTGAACTTGAAGGGTAAACTGCTAGAAGCATGCTTAATCTATACTTTTATCTTCTTTTTTTAATTAGGGCGTAAATTGATAATAAGCATGCTTAACTCCTATAATGACAGAATTACAATGAGTAGTAAAGTAAAATTAGCCAAGTTTGTTGCCTAGGAATCCGGTTCAGATTTTGACACAGACGAGGCCACACATGCAACCCTAAGTGCTTAATTGGAAATCAGTCTGGTCAACATTCAACCATGTTATACCCATACACTTGCATTCCACGTAAGAAAGATTTTTTAGTGGGTCGAGAATATGGGGAAGACATTCCTTTCGGATCTCTCCTACCAAAGTTTAAGGATCCGGAAAGTTTCTCACACATAAATATAGCCGTTAGTAATAGTACCCCACCTTGGAACTTTTAAACAAGAAAAAATGGAGGTGAGGACACTCCCTCACGAGAGATTTTTCATTGTGACAATCACACGGAGTAGTACATTACGTATCATTATATAAATGGTGAGATACGTGTGTTAAAAAGTTAATAACTTAAAAAATAAAATTTCTCATCATTTACATAAAAACACGTGGTGTAATACTCGTATTTCCGTCATAACTAAAAATTTCGCCTTCATCACCCACTCAAGTAGTAAAATATTATAAATAATAAATATAAAAATGCTGTAGAAGGCTAGAAGCTACAGAAATTAATTAAATAACTAATTAAAATGACAAACAAGTAATAACATAACATGGGTTGCGAGCTGGGACTGACACAGAGAGGCCCGCGGAGTAGGGCGCTAACAAGCACATTCCTTTTACCCGCTTGAACTCCAACAGAGTCTGCACACCAGAAAAAAAACGGAGTTGTGTCGGCGTATCTCCATTTCTCCATACCCTTCCTCAACTTGCCAAAGAAAATTTTTATGGCATGATACATCACTATTGTGACGTACTACACTAATTGTACAACAACGTGTTTAAATTTTTCTTTATACAACGTTGTATGATTGACATATAATGTCATAATAACGGCGTATCATATCAAAAAAGTTGCTCTCCATTGTGAGTTTTGTAACCCAACTCGATTTTTTTTTTAATTCAATTTTATTTCTTTCCATCACTCTCATTGCTCAAACCCTATTAATATCAACCCCTTTAGCCCGCATTCGGCATTCCTTCTCTCTTCTCTCTCTGTCTCTCCTCTCTTTCTCTCTCTAGAATCCCTTTTAAGTAGCACCTCATTATCTCATTCTCTCTCAGCTCATACATCTCCCGCTCATTTGTCTCTCTGGGTTTTTTCTCTAGAAGAACTTCAAACTCTAATATTATCATTTCTTCTGAGTTTTCTGTCAGAACTTCAAACTCTCCAAATATTTGACAATGTCGAGCAGAAGATCCTCTCGGTCGAGGCAGTCGTCGAGCAGGAACAACAACAGTATCAGTGATGACCAGATCACTGATCTCGTATCCAAGTTACAGCAGCTTCTTCCTGAGATTCGCCCTAGGCGTTCCAACAAGGTACACACACACGCACGCACACACACATATATATTTAATATTTTGTCTTTTTAAAATAAAATTTTGTTCTTCCTAGCTCTCTTGTAGTCTTTCATGTTTGTAATATAATGTTACAAAAATGAATAAAATTATTCTTTTATGTGGTCTCCATTTGGTTAGATAATATGTAGAGGTTGTGATGAAATTAGGGTTCCATCATAAAACCAATTGGCAATATGGGGAGTAGCCCAATACCACATAAGCACATAGCAAACCTTGTTCTCACTGATGTGGGACAACTCTCAACACGCCCCCGCACGTATGGCCGATTTTCAAGCCTACACGTGGACAACACAACAGGGTGACATGGAGTGTGTGTGACTGTTTGACTTCACACGAAGACAACTTGTTTTGATATCATGATGAAATTAGGGTTCTACCATAAATTCAATTAGCAATATGGGGAGTAGTCCAAGATCACATAAACACATAGCAAACTTTATTCCTCATCGATGTGGGACAACTCTCAATAGGTTGATAAGTCACACTCATCTCATTTATTCTGTAACCACAACTTGAGGTGTGGGACTCCAATTGTTCCCCCATGCCATCCTCACCAGACCCTCTCATTTATATATATGTTTCTGTCTAAATTGAGGTAGATAATTATACACGTAACTAATTAGTTATGCATTAATTTGTTAGTTAACGTGTTTGAATTAATATTTTGGCAGGCGTCGGCGTCGAAGGTTTTGCAAGAGACTTGCAATTATATTAGAAACTTACACAGAGAGGTGGATGACCTAAGTGAGCGCTTATCAGAGCTTTTGGCCACGACGGACATGGATAACGACCAAGCAGCCATTATTAGGAGTTTACTTATGTGATGGTGTATATATATATCTATATATATATATATATATATATGGAGCTTCCTAGTTAATCATGATCCGTATTCGGTATTAACAATATATATATATATATATATATATATGGAGCTTCCTAGTTAATCATGATCCGTATTCGGTATTAGTATTGTTAATCTCTTTTTGTCGTGAGCCTTATAAATCTGGCTAGTTAGCTAGCTAGGGTTTGCTCATTAGGCCAGAAGAAAGAGTTTTTTCTTTTTTTCCTTTCTTTTTCTTTTTTGATTAAGAAAGAGAGTAGTTTAATTACTTATGTGTAGCAGTCCAATATCCTAGTGAATAGAGTGTTGTATTTCTACTTATGCGTTTCGGGTTTAAAATTTTCTCATTTTCTAAATTATTGTAGTAGTTTTGAACGTTCTGTCTTCCAAATAATAGTAAAAAAGTTTAATTATTTATGTAACATGGAGTACTCTCCAGTCCAAGTCTATGCTATTACTTTCGACGACTTGTAGTAGGTAATTAACTTTTATAATCATAAAAGCACTTTTAGATTTCTAGTTCCTTTTTTCATAGAAAACTTCTATTTCTTTTTGTGTTGGATCGTATATAATTCAAATCTCACAATCTATATCCATCTAGAGAAAACTGAAATCTCTTAATATTATCTGTTATATTTGATTGTGACACTTATAATGAATATTTAAAAATATATATGCAATCGATAATACTATTTGTATATACAAAATTGCCAATATTTTTATGATACGTTTTTAAATAAGGATGAACCCTTTTGTTATATGCAGAACATACCTGTATAAGAGAATATTTCGACAAATATAATAATTTTATGCCTCTAGACAACATTAAATATATATCAGCAATGCACGTGATTAGTTAATTATCGAAATAGTTAGTCATCTTACTTATCAAATTTTTATATTAAAATGTTAGATGTGGACTTCTAGAGGCAATATATATTGCGGCAGATACAATGTCGATCGAACATGTGACTTTACCCCAAATATAAAATATATACCAATTTGGTAACGAGGCTGTAGCAAAATAATTCCCGTGAATTTGTTGGCTAATTAATTAATCAGCATGCATTAGTAGGACAATTATGCCTTGGCAAATGAACATATTGCAGACAATCTCTGGTGCGTTCACATTATCAACTATTAAGTTCATTGTATTAAACATATTTAAAGTGGTCATTACGACAAGTCGGTCCAAAAGAATTGTCATGCTCGTCCTTAATTATGAAGTTAATTGGAAGAGTTAGGCACGAAAGAGTTACCTAATAATTACTTCTATACGTGATTATCCCTCCACCAATGGTGGTGGAAATGAAGGAATGTGGAATGGTTTTACAAGCAATAGTCTCTAATTAATCTAAATCACGTACGGGGAAGAGAGATCGAAATAATAGTGAAGAGGGGGGAACACTGCTCTAATCAGTTTAGCTAAACCAAAATTTGCAAGTGTGGAAGGGTTAGTTAATCACATAAAATAAGTAAAATACAAGTTTAATTATACAAACAAGTCTGATTGTTCCATGTGATTGTCCCACACTAGTGCATGACATTATCGTTCGACTCATCACTCATGTCGTCTACTTTTAATATTATACGTGGATTAGTAACGTAATTAGCATCGCTTGGCGGTCTAACACTCAATATTACTGTAAGGTCGATGGTATACCAGCTGATAGCCTGATAGCTAGATATAGCTAGATGCTCACGCAAAACAGAAATTTACTATTTGATTGTGTACGTACTACGTAGCCTGATAGCCTGATAGCTTTTATTAAATTGAAATCAAAGTCTAATCGTTTCTAAAGTACCAAAATTCAAACTCTAGAAGAAGAAAGATGACAACTTTAATTTGCAAACTCCCCGCTACTCCCGCAAATATAGTAAAAAAAAAATGGATAAGACATCGCATATCTCTCAACGTGACAAACATATTTCTTGCAAGATAACAAAAATCTGTTGATCCACATACCGTACTCAATTAGGAAATACCGAATTCATTAATTCAACCGACTACAAATGCGTCCACATCAAATTTGAACTCACAATGTCATTTTTTTCATCAATTGCTCACGCATTTTTTGATAGAATTCGAGCATCTGACCTAAAATAATTGGCAGTGAATGAAGAGGCCCAAGATCTTCAAAGCACTTAGGCTACTGTGTTAGAATTCTAACCTTGTGTCGAGATGTACGGGTCAAAGGACAGTCTCACATGGACAGTTTCTAGAGGGATGGTTTTATTCACACACCCATTTACCTCTCACACAATCCTTCTTAATTTTCGACCATCAAATCGTTGAATTAAAAAAATTAATAAGAGTATGTGTGAAATAACCAGGACGTACACCTCCAAATAGGCACGCCAGATGGAGACTGGGCCTTGAGTCGAGATATACGTTTTGCGCACTTTGGTCCAGTCCAAATTAAGTGTTCCCAACTATCCAGAGGCCTTGAGCCTTGGCAGTTTCCTGGGTTGGGCTTTATTCTGGTCAACGTACTCTCTATTGGGCCTAGTCATGGCAGTTAGGCCCAATTATAAGGGTTCCGCCAGGTCTCCGGCACATAGTTGGTTACTTGTTCAAAAAGCGAGCAACATTGCTGACTCGCTGCCCAGTAACGACACGCAACACCGCGCACTCACAGAGTGGTGGCCTTGTCTCTACGAACACTACAACTTCCTCCTCCTCTGATACACTCGATCCTGAAACATCTACTGAGCTCAGGTGCGTCAATCAATTCTTCACGCTTTAGATTTCTAATTTTTTCCTAATTTTTTTTCCGTTTAGTGTTTTAATTTTGTGAAAATTTCTACGATGGAATTGTAAATTGGAAATTCGGATGATTAAGTTCTAAGATTCTGGTTGGAATATGGATTAATTGGACTAAATAGGGTTTAATTTCATGAAATTTGTAAGATTTTTGGAGAAGATGAATTCTGGTGGATACGCCGTTGAAGTTACGGGTCTATCTCCGAAAGCAACAGAGAAAGATGTCTACGATTTCTTCGCCTTCTCTGGTTCCATCGACCATGTAGAAATCGTCAGGTTTCTTGACATTTCTTACTGCTCAATCTCTAGTGTTTTCAGTATTTTATATGATGCTTATAATTTCTGTCTTATATTTTGGGATATAAATTTGTTCCTGTTATTTTGGGGAAAATTCAGATCGGGTGAATGTGCATGCACTGCCTATGTGACGTTCAAAGATTCGTATTCTCAGGAGACTGCTTGCTTGCTCAGTGTGAGTATTTCTTCGACTCGTTGCAACTGATTATTTATGTGCTTGCTGCCTGTGTTTAATGGTCAAATTTGGATTAATACACTATGCAGTTAAATGTAGTCTTAATTGTTTTGTGCTGATCTTGAGCGATGATTATAGCGGTGCTTATAGCTCATTTCTGCCAGTTGTCCTTTTAACATTTGTGTAAAACTTGCCAAATTGCTTTCGGCAATAAATTTGTGCTTATATACATAGCAAGAGAAAGATACTTTGACAAAAGAAAGATAATCATACTAAAGAATTCAGTGATGGAACTTTGACGCTATCCAAATTTAGCCTAAGATTTCGAGATACAGGGCTCAACTAGTGACCTTAAATAAATAAGTTGTTGCTTTGATGAAAGGGCTTCCAAGTTATCATAGTAGCCTCTAGCCGGAACTTTTTTATATCGCATTCCCATTATATGGTCTGTGCTCATATGTAGTTGCTCACTGATGCCTAGATGGTAACTGTTCATCGGTTTCTTAGTATCTTTCTCGGCGATGATTTGTGAGCGTTAATTCATGTTTTCCCCTTAAAATCTTATTGTCTCAGGGTGCCACAATTATTGATCAAGCTGTGTGCATAACACGCTGGGGGCACTATCAAGATGAATTTGATTTTTGGAACAGGCCTCGGCATGAAGCGGAAACTGATTCAACTGTATGTATATTTTGTTTCTTTCTAAAGCGCAAATAATTTGGTTTCTCGTTTGCACATTTTCGCGCACACACCAAACTATTGTACTGAAAAAGGTTTGCAAGAGTAATCCATAAGTATGTCTTGGCAGCCTCCACATGGAAGCCAGAATCTTCCTAGTGCTGGACAAGTGGTGAGTGTGGCCCAGGAAGCAGTCTTGACCATGTTGGCCAAGGGATTTGTGCTCGGAAAAGATGCATTAGCCAAGGCGAAATCATTGGATGAGTCTCATCAAGTTTCGGCAAGTGCAACAGCTAGGGTGACTGAACTGAGCCAGAGAATTGGCCTAACCGATAAGATTTACGCAGGGGTTGGAGCTGTGAAGTCAGTGGATGAGAGGTATCATGTGTCAGAGATCACCAAATCAGCCATATCAGAGACGGGAAGAAAAGCCACAGAAGCTGCGAACGCTGTGGTGAATAGTAGCTACTTTTCTAAGGGAGCTCTTTGGGTGTCGGATGCTCTAAACCGAGCGGCTAAAGCTGCTGCTGATTTGGGAAATCAGAATGTTAAGCAGTGAGGTATTTGATAACATGGTATCTCCTGTTGTGTTTGTATATAGAACAGAATATTGTAGCCATTTCGTACTTTCGATACCTTGGTGTTAGTATAAGTACTTGCTATACATAATGATAACCCAGAAGAACACTACAGGGGAGACATGAAAATAATTAATATTTACAAAACAATCAGAGAAAACATTATTAACATCCGATTGGTTTACAAACCAGTTGTACTAAAGTGAGAAGAATTTGGATGGTCGGTCGCAGGGCATTACAGGGTTTCTTCTAATTCGAAGTGCCTGTTTGTGGCAAGGCATTACACTCTTCTTGCATTGCAGTCTTCCGTCGAGGTTATTTAGCTGCTTCGGAAGAAGGTAGAGCAAGAGAAGTTGCGGGGGAGGGTGTTTGGTAGCAGAGAAGGCTTTTGGTTTGAAGATTGTTCGATTAAGTGAACGAGAAGGAGAAGGAGAAGAAGCAGATCGATAAGTTGGAGCATGATTACGAGCATTAACAGCATCAGAACAAGAAGAGGAGGGAGCATCAGGGTTAAGAAACGATTAATGATATGGTTTGCAGTAGAAAAAGCATCTACCAGTAATTTGTGCTTAACAAAAATGCATATTAGTTTTAACTAGATGCATGTGTTGTCGTTATGCACAACCATTTTGCCGAGGGGTATGAAGACAACTAAGCTGTTGGGAAATGCTATTACCAATTTCCAATTTTTAAGGGGACCAGCTGGTGGCTTTGCCATGGTAGTGCACCATTTTAGGGGTCGGAAAGACTCGTAGAGGCATTTCAGCCTCCTTTTGGCTGTCATCGTGTAATTCACGAGCACTAAAAATCGAACCTATGACATGCTATGTGAAATGCGGGCATAAAATTTGCCCCGAACCACTAGGTACACCGATTTCCAACTTGAGTTAACATATATCCTTACGTAAATAAAATTTATTTCGCAACATACCATAGGCATGAGACTATAGCATTGTTTATAAATTGAAATTTCTAGGTCATACACTCTGAATTTCCATAAAGTAGAAACTTCAAAATGGGAAGGTACAAAAAAGTGTGGGCTATCATGTAAATTCGACTCAACTTCCGATCAAAGCGAATCCGACGGTTTAGATTCCAAGTCACCTTTTCGTCAATGTTACGTATGGGCTTTACATTAAAAAAAATATAGAATTACGTATTTTTAAGTCCGAACCACGCGATGAGCCCACAACGTCAGATTAACTGGGCTTTATAAAATTGGCGCGGGCCCAAAAAACTGATAAACCGAAAGCGGGAGCCGGAGTAGGAGTCCTCATGGTGCTGCGGTGTACGGTAGATCGGCAACCGAAATGCGATCAGACTCTTCGCACGCACGCGCACCCGCCCAAATTTGACCCACCTGCAAATCTCTGCACACGCGTTAATGAATCCTTCGCAGTTCTGACGCCGAAATCCGATCTACATGCAAAAACCTAGATCCGCACCGTTTTTCCGATTAATGCGCGGGAAATTGAGCTTCTGAGTCGCGGCTATTACTAAGTGAAACCGAGTCGCCATGGCGGGAAGGACGGACTCGGAGTCCATCCGGGTGCCGTACAGGAACCTGAGGAGGGATGCGGAAGTGGAAATGATGGCGACGGACGAGCCTCATCATCGTATCGACCTCAATTCGCCTACGTCTTCCTCCCCTAGGGTTCCAAATGGGAGCGGGCCGCCGGGACAGCCCGGACACAAACACAATACTCTTTTGACTCTCGTTCTCAGCTGCACGGTCGCCGCCGGTGTGCAATTCGGTTGGGCGTTGCAGCTTTCGCTTTTAACTCCTTACATACAGGTTAGATTTTGGACCAGATGCATGTTAAAAATCAAATTTTCTGCATTGTTGTCCTAATTTGCTATATAGTTTTGAATTCTTGAGAAAAATTACAAGTAATGTTATGCTTTTTTAATTTCAAGTATATTTTGATAATTAAATAGATAATCTGTAAGCCCTGTGATACATGAACATGAAATGTTCATAATCTTGATTGGTGCATTCTGTAGTGGCAGAAAATGTTCAACTAAACTCACGTTGTAACTCCACATCTTCACATTTTGAGCTTTCCCGCCCTCATCCTACGGATTTCGCTAATGAACTTTGGGACGGCTCAATGTAGAAAATGAAGAGAATGATGTAGTGTATGCCTAATACAAACGCATGGTTACTGTTAGTGTGAAGAGTGTTGACATAACGTAGTGTACGCGGAATATGAATGTATCCTTACTGTTAGTGTGCAAACAGAATGTATCTTTATTTATCTTCTCAATGCATATTGTTTCTTGTTCTCTTGTATTGCTACTGCAAATGTTTGTGCTAATTTTTTGTTTATTTAAAGCATATTTGGCTAACTAGCCACTGATTGACGTTTTGTTGCAGACTCTCGGAATAGGGCATGCATTTTCTTCATTTATTTGGCTTTGTGGCCCTATTACAGGCCTTGTGGTAAGTGATGGCAGCTAGTTTTCAACAATTCTGACTGTAACATATATGTCGTAACCTTTATAATCGTGTTGGTCTATTTGATGGGGCGCAAACATATCTCCTAATGGGGCGATTTTAATCTTGCCTACTATTGGTGCATGCGCCTTCATGATTATTTTGGCTATTGGAATATTTTGTGAGGGTTAGGGTTGAAGCTATCTGGATATTGTTTAAACATTTTCTTTCCTTCAGTTATATCAACTTTTATTTTCTTCAGGTTCAACCTTGTGTTGGTATTTGGAGTGACAAATGCTCTTTAAAATTGGGAAGAAGACGCCCTTTCATTCTTGCAGGATCTCTCATGATTTCAGTTTCTGTAAGTGCGGAGAATTTTCGTACTTTACCATTATTTCTTAATGTAATTGGGGTATGCCTTTTTTATTATTTGCTAAACTAAGTCTTGTAATTTAGGTGGTGTTAATTGGGTTTTCTGCAGACGTTGGATACTTATTAGGAGATACAAAGGAGCATTGCAGGTTTTTGTTGCCTTTTGGTGATTGTTTTTTATATTACAAAAACCCATTAACTGTTAGCTAATTCATTTGAGGAAATGCAGCACATTCAAAGGTACCCGGACAAGGGCAGCCTTTGTCTTTATTATTGGATTTTGGTTGCTGGATCTTGCCAACAATACAGTGCAGGTAAGGCTTCTAATACTATCAATGTGTGATTCGATCACAATGTATAACGGATTACACTGTAGTTTCCCAATGAAAAATAAAAATCACACTACTAGTAGAATGGTTTTTATGTCTCAGCATAAAGTGTAACTTGTAATTTTTGTAGGGACCAGCTCGTGCTCTTCTGGCTGATCTAGCAGGTGACTTTCTCCCCAAGCTGTTATGGAACTAGTCACATTTATGTTTATGTTTTGTTTTGTTTTATTTATAAGAATTTAAAGTATGTAATACTTTCTCTGAACATCATATGCTGGTTGCAACTTGCAACTATATTTTAGGCCCCGAGCAACGTAATACTGCAAATGCTGTGTTTTGCTCATGGATGGCCGTTGGTAACATCCTAGGATTTTCTGCTGGTGCAAGTGGAAATTGGCACAGGTGAAACTTCTCAAATATGTTTCTCTTATTTCTTTGGTAATGGAATATTTTTGTGCATTGGCATGTGTGTGCACATGACCCTTACACTAAACTGTTTTTATAACATTTTGCCATCCGAACCTAATCAAACTTAGTTTGCACTAACTGAATTCTGCTTTTTAGTACATAATATAGACTTACAGTTTGCGAATCCACTTCTATGCATGGTTAATTTGTCTGACAATTTTGTTTCTGGGCAGATGGTTTCCTTTCCTTCTGAGTAGAGCTTGCTGTGAAGCCTGTGGAAATCTTAAAGCAGCATTTCTCATTGCAGTGGTGAGTAATCAGCGTGCACAGAAGTGCATGTATTTGTAAAGTCATCTTCTACTGTTCAAATTATACTAATTTTTTTTGGGTGGTCAGTGATTGACAATTCTAACAGCAAATGTGCTTTCTCCATAATGCAGCTTGAAATCCATGAATTGTAATATCTACTCGTGACTTCTTTCCTGATTTGTTCTATCTTTTTTTATTAGCTTAAGAATGAATGGAAGATTCACTATTAACTACCGGGTTCTTGCAGTTTTCTGTGTTGTGCTGAGCTAATTTGCGCAGTATTAATCTTTCTTTCAGTAGATGGTGTATTTCTTATATGATGGTCCCAGATTACGATATCTTTTAATGTCTGGGACAAGTAATAAAAACTTTGGCTGGTCTTGTTAATATGATGTATATTGAGTTTAGTAACTGAGGTAGATATGATATGCTTATATCAGTATATAGTTGGTTAAAGAAACCATATACATCAATTCATGAAGTTTCTAAAATTTTCATTAAGCATGTTTTTGAAGGCATAGAGTTGTTCATTAGTTCATTTCACTTTCAAATAAGAACTTCAGTGTTGCAATTGGTGCTGAGGGTATGTTTAGTGTATTGCACTCTTTACAACTCTAGATAATAAGCATGTTATTTGTGCAGATCTTTCTCACTTTGTGTACACTTGTTACAATGTATTTTGCTGAGGAGGTTCCGCTCACTACGTATCAACCGAACCCTTTATCAGATTCTGCTCCTTTATTGGATGATCCCCAACAAAATGGTCTTGAGCTTTCTAAGTTGAAGCGTGATAAGCAAGTTATCGATGATGCAAATGGAAGCAGAATTGACTATGAAAGGGATATGAATCTGAAGGAGGCCATCTCAAAAGTTGAGGAAGATAAGAATGGTGGTTTTAATGACGGACCTGGAGCAGTGTTAGTCAATCTGTTGACCAGTTTAAGGCATTTACCACCAGCAATGCATTCAGTGCTAATTGTTATGGCTCTTACATGGGTACGTGACACTGTTATTTTGCATGAACTTTTCCATTTCGCCCTTATTAATAGCATTTTTGCTGATTTCTGTTTGTTCATATTTGGTATCATTAAAATTTCTAGAGTGTTTGTTGCCATTACGAGGTTCTGTTTTGAACTCATCTTTGTTTCAATTCTTACATGCAGTTATCCTGGTTTCCATTCTTTCTTTTTGATACGGATTGGATGGGTAGGGAAGTATATCATGGGGATCCGAAAGGGAACTCAGCCAAAATACAAGCTTATGATCAGGGTGTCAGAGAAGGTGCATTCGGTTTATTATTGAATTCAGTAAGAACTCAAAATTGAGAACCGGTACTTGACTTCCAAAAGTTGTCATACGTAATTTAAATGTTCTTGAGGAACCTTTAATTTAAGCTTCTCTTTTTCTGGGGTGTAGGTTGTTCTTGGCATCAGTTCTTTCCTAATTGAGCCAATGTGCCAGCGGATGGGTGCAAGACTAGTGTGGGCAATGAGCAATTTTATTGTGTTTGCCTGCATGGCAGGCACCGCTATCATAAGTTTAATATCTGTTACAGAGTATTCTAAAGGGATTGAACATGTAATTGGGGGGAATGAAAATATCAGGATTGCTTCCCTGATTGTTTTTGCTCTTCTTGGCTTCCCACTTGCTGTGAGTATTAGTGTACCTGTATTAAATGTCCATTTACTGCAATAGCTGCCCCGAAGTACGCAAAGAACTGAGTATGTTGTGTGTTGCAGATTACCTACAGCGTTCCCTTTTCCGTTACAGCCGAGTTGACTGCCGATGCCGGTGGTGGCCAAGGTTTGTGTGTTTTTTTCTTTGAATCTAGCAACTTCTTTCTCTGTGTCATTGCTGAACTTGGTGATTTAAATTCTCACGTGTTTTTACTATTGTGCAGGACTGGCTATTGGAGTTTTGAATCTTGCAATTGTTATTCCACAGGTAGTTAGGTTGTAGTCCTGTTTTATCACTTGTTTAGCTCAATCATGCAATGCTGCAAGTTGTTGTCTGTTGGATCTTTTTTCTTGTTTTGGTGATACACTTCACTGTTACTTTGCTTGGTATACATGCTTATATACGTTCTCCTTCTCTCCAACCCCCTTTTACTTTCTCACCGGTAAAATCTCATAACAAAGTTTGTTATTTCGCTTGCAAAATTTTGATCTGATCGTGGGTCATGTTTGGGGAGAGTGCCAAATTCTAAACGATCCCAGCCTGAACCCAACAAAAAATGAACTGGAAGTTGGACCAAGGTCAAGCCTATGATCAGGTCTAATAGTGTGGCCGTGTAACTTGGTTCTCTGTGTTTCTCAAAATCCCTTTATTCATTATAACCTGGGTCATGATATCTGCATTTGGATAAACCTGTTTCTTGTTCCGGTTCCTCCAGATTTACAGACACAGTTCATAACTTCTTTTTTTCTTCAAGTTTGGTAGTGCTGATTTCATGTTTCTTGTTAAATTGCGCAGATGATTGTGTCTCTTGGTGCGGGGCCATGGGATGCTTTATTTGGGGGAGGAAATATACCTGCCTTTGTTTTGGCCTCCTTCGCTGCCCTTGCTGGCGGCATTATCGCAGCTCGCAGACTACCAAATCTTTCGAGTTCCTTCAAGTCAACCGGTTTTCATTTTGGGTAATCACAAAAGCAGTTCACCTGGTCGGCTAATGACAGAAGCAACTCATCAGATGATGACCACCCGTTATATGATTCAACCATACCGGAGCATTTGCTATCCGAGGGATTGCTCTGGCTCTGGCTCTGGCTCTAGAATATGCGTACGTATCACACTTACCAACACCCATTCCATAAATTCATTCTTTTTTTTTTTTGCCTCACTTCGTATGTAGAGTGTACATTGTCAGTTACATGAAAAGGATATACATACATGCATATAATGCTAATGCCGCTCTAAGAAAATTGTTCACTTCTTCCTCATCCGGTTAACATTTTACAATTGTGTATATAATTTCATAAGACTTTTTATGTTGTGGCCGGGTTCCGGCTAGCCTGATCTTAATATGGCCGGTGGCTACCACTACTTTCCCGTCGCCGGTACCCAAATTTGATGGAAGTAAACGTTAGTTAGATTAATGTAGATGATAATATACAATCAAGAGAAGGAAAATAATGAGTTTATATGATGTTGATGGAGGTTAAGTGGTCGGTTTGTATTAGTCTAATCATCCTTTATGTCCTCTTCAAGTCTCATGCTAGAGATTCGCTAGATTGTACTGCTTGACTAACATTTTACTCATAAAAAGTTGTCTGAGAAAAAAAGTTTTCTGTATCTTAATTTGTCAATGTCTGCTTTATTTACTTGTGTTTCGAACCGATTCACCCAAATGTTTCCCCTAATTAAGAGTTGATTAGTTGTATTAATTGCAATTAATTACATGCGGAGTCCATGTTCTAAGGAAATTTTTTAGTATGCTGGAAACATTTGAAATTTTTTGTTTTCGAATTTCTAACCAATTTACCCTTAGCGTACCAGGTCGGTTCTCAGCACAATGAAAAATCTCTTCGTATTCTGTCTGGAAACGTCTCAAAATCGGTTGGCGGCCGGTCTATTTTAAAAATACAAAAAAAAAGAAATTATAATCGGTGGATAAATTTGCTTCTTTTTTCCCACTCCAATTAAATTCTGACATCAGCATCAGATTACCAGTCTCAGTTTTCCAAATTCAGATCATGGGTCCAGGAAAATGGACGGGTCAGATGAATCACTGTCCCCACCTCACGCACTGGATCCAGAAAAAACTAAAAGCCATCGTACAGGTTTAAAAGTGATTCTCAAAACGGTCACGTAATTTCAATTTTTTCTTTTTGTATTATTCAATTTTGGAATCGTATTAATTTATGTTTTGGAGTTAATTTTTTTCATTAGGTTTATGACGTGTGAAGTGTGAGACTCATTTACGAGCTAATACAATACAAAATATTGATTTTGGAGCTTTCGCAATTTGCTTCTCCTGAATCGATACTTTGTGTCTCAAAATGACAACCAATCATCCAATTTAGTCAAAACTATGAAATATTAGATGTTTAAACATACATAATGTACAAATTGATTCAATTTTAATCTTCATGATGTTGTAATGTGAAAAAGTTTGAAATCTCATAGCTTATTTTGTTGAAAATCATCTCAAATCCAAGGAATGTAAAATATAATTAGTCTAATAACAAATAAATAAACGAATATGTATTATATGGATAATGCTAGAGAGACCAACTGTTTAGACCAAATTTTGTAAATCATATAACGTGATTATTGATAATTGAATTATTATTTAAGTGTTGATTATAAGCTAATTTTCTTTAATCATACATCATACGGTTTACAAAATTAATCTAAAAATTTGATTGACGTGACATTACTCGTATTGTATAAGGGCAGAACCGAAGCATGAGTGGTTACTGGTTGAGGAATCACTATCAATGCATATCTCCTCTAACCAAAAAGCAAATCCCAGAAAAAAATAACAATTAAATTCAACAAATAAAAGAAAGAGAAAAAATCTTCTAATTTCTAAAGAAAGATACATATACATGGACAGAGAGAGAGAGAGAGTGGAGTGACGTACGCAATGGTAGAGAAGGGCACATGAAGACAGCTGAAGCCATGAGCGCATGTGGAGAGGAGAAGATTCAGCTATTTCAGCTCATTTTTTTATTCCCAAGCATACTTATTTAGACGAGAAATTTTTTAATGTTATCAGAAACACAGTTTAGTATACTAAATGTCATAGTATAATTTTTTAAAATTTTATTTTGCAAGTTTTCAATCGATTATATTGTTACAGTTGATGTACTATGCTGCGTATCCGGCACACTGAAAAATCTCGCTACCCAGATCTTGTTATCTGCTTTTTCTTTTCTTTTTTATTTTAATTCTTTACGGAATTTAATAAAACAAAGAAAAGAAAAACAGATAGATATAGGTAATATTAAGGTTCTAAATTAATTAAGCGGTTTGGGAACATGCATGGATATGATATCCACCCCATTCCATTGGATTTGGGGGCACACAGCACACCACCGCTGCAATTTCACAACTCAATTCTAATAGAGGCATGTGATTTGGCTGCCTACGCTCTCCTGTCTTTGCCAAATATTAAGGAAGTGGATCTTGTACTGAGTTTAGGATGGGAATCCTTATGAGCAGACTATTCAGACCGTTCAAACTTGATTCAACAGCTGTAATTATTATAACTTTTAAAGGAACCTCCTGTTTTCAGCTGTTGGATTAAATTTCAACGGTTCAGATAGACTGCTTATGAGGATCTCCATCCTGAACCTAGGAGAGGATCCAGTTCCAAATATTAAACCCACTCTTTATGTTTACTAGTGGCACCTCCACATGTCCCATCATCACCAATATTCTATATTATATATGCTCTTTTAAATCTTCGATCAGACAGAGTGATACTTGGATGGTCTGACCTATCTCATAAAGGGGTAAGATTTTTTGTATTTACGCTCATGTAACAGAGTTTTCTTGTGCAGCAATCCTATATTTCAATATATAGGAGGAGTGCTAGGCTTAGTCATCCATGACAATGAGCTGTCGTTATATGTGAATTAGTTATGCATTAACGATTCACAACACGATTTAACTTAAGTTATCATAATCCAAACAAGATTCAATCCCCTCGGTTACAGAAGCTCCATTCCACTTGAAATAAATAAATAAGCCTAATTCACAATCTGCCCCATCTCCATGTATGGTATTAATCTCTAGTTTTTTGTTAATTACTAGAATTAATTAAAGAATTGAGAAGTACATTTTTTTCTTCTTAATTGACCAATGAATGAAATGTTGGGTTATATTAAACTGATAACAACATATAACCAACTTTATCAGTTTAATATAACTCAACTTTTTTGTTGAGCTAGTAAGCATTGTTCTCTTCGTTGTATCAATTTTTAGGTTCGAGTCATAACACAAGCAATCATTCTTGGTAGACGGTCTGTAAAAACCAAAAAATGGGACTTAGACTCCCTCTTTAAGTCCTCGAAGAGGTTTGTAGTATGCTTTAGCCTTGGAACGAGGTAGCTATCACATTCACGAATAGAATCTCTTTAGAAAGAAAATCTTTTATCTCATGATAACCTGCTTCAATTCCCTCACAAAACTTTCGTTATTAGATTAGCCATATGCCTACATGTTTCTAGCGATTCACGTAGCTAAAAAGTTGGGTTATATGTGATTGTGTCAGTGTATCATATCATGCATGCTAAGTTGCTAACAAGAAACCAAGAAGCGATATTTAATCAAATCCAATGACGTCCGATCAGGCAAATGTCAATTGCATCAAATCGTATACCAATTTGTGTCCTTGTACATGTCACCATGGCCAACTTAACTAGTTTTGGATTAATACAACGACCATGCATGGATGGATACTTTAGTCATTTCATGGGTCCCCTCTTGCTTCTCTTTCTTGACATCTCCATACATTTTTGTGTTGTCCATATTCTTTACATTACATTTTTATGCTATGCAAGCTTAGATTCCCATCATATAGAATTTTATGGAAGGGAAAAAAAAAAAAAAAAAGATGAACTGAAGTAGGTAACAAGCTAAGCTAACCTTTTTTGTTCGGAGTAATTTATATGGCACAAGTACATTTAACAATGTAATAAAGTATAATTTATATTGAGTGGGTTTTTTTTTTTTCGGTCAAAATTTATATTGAGTGGGTTCGCTTCTAATTGCATTCAAACATGTTGTGATAAAACCCACTTCCATTGGGCTAGCATGTGATTAACTTGGAGTTGGAGATAGTACAATGCGTGACCCATTCTGATGTCCTCTTTGAAATTTTGACTACGTCCCTATTGTGGTGTCTTGTGATATGAAATAGCAGATATATGTACAAAGTCCTTGTCTAAGCCTGGATTTCTACTTCTTAGAACCAAACTCTCTCTTCGGTTACCTCAGCTCAATTTAAGGGGGCATATTAAGGACAATAGTGTAAAAGATAAAACTTGGCAGAGCCAATTTTGTAAATAATTTGATGTTCTGTTATAGTTTGTTATTTGGACAGTTAGCATTTGTTGCAGTGAGTTGTCAACAAATTTGTGCGTTGAGTTACGCATAAATACCAATTTTGTAATCTTATTACAATTCAATGAAAGATAATTTTCCAAATACCCCTACTATGAGAATTGAGACCCTCTTTGGATCTTTGTGTCCAAAGTCGGCGGACCCAGATATCCGGATCACTCATTTTAAATCATACGTCATCTATTAGCCCATCTCACTGACCACCTCACACAAACTAAAAATCAAAATCTCTCTCTTTCTTAAATGGCCCGAATCTTTGTATCCGCTGGCTCTAAACTTCAAAATCTGGAGAGAATCTCGATTCCTACAGTGCTTTCAATGCCCTTTCTCCTTTTATCCTTTCCAGCTGATAACGCTCTTTGCCGTTTCTTTTTAATGCACAGAAAGAGCAATGCAGCTGCATTTTCTAATGTTAACTTTGTACAAGTCCTTTCACCCCTTTACGTACACTTGAAGTTTGACAAAGTTATGTAAGGAATCTAGTCCCACACCAAAAATGTTCATGCATGCAGCTGCGTGCTAGCTGCCGCTGAGTCCCACACACACTATTTAGCATCTCGGTAAAGTTTTCAATGATCGGTACGAGTTAGAACTGAACAGTGATCACATAAAATACTACTGTTACTGCGTAATTAGAAACTAAAAATATAGTGATGATGTTGATTAAAGTTTTGGAATTGAAGGGGTGGACTGTGGAGGGATGATAACATGCCATTTGGTAATTGAGGTGGCGTGGCAGAACAGATCAAAGAGAGAGGAGCAAGCGGTGAGATATATATATATATATGTATGTATGTATGTATGTATGTATGTATGTATGTATGTATATGCATGCATATATGGGTAAAATATCCTAGATTATGATGGGTACGCAGAGACAAAAAAGGACCAGCTCTTAGCCTTAGTAGTAGGGTTT